GTGTGAAGTAAACTCAGACGAAGTAAAATCCAAGCTGATCTCGTTCACGTTCATGTGTTTGTTTACCTTTTTTTACCTGCCAAAATGGCGTCTACTAACTGAGAGTCACGTGGGGTCCGGAGCTCTATTGAGACAGAATGATCCGTAACTGTAGATTTGAGGTTTGTACCTGTAGAATGAAATGTGTGTTTTGAGAGTTTTGATTTCAAACTTGTACATTGATTTTCTTATTTTGGAAGTCTGCTAGGTAAAAAACGAAAGTTTCATGTTTCTGAATGAATGTTTGATGTTACAAAATGAGTATTAAATGTACAAAATAAAAGTTAGATTTTACAAAATAAAAAAGAAAATGAAAATTTCCTGTTACAAAACAAGAAATACAAGTACAAATTGAGAATTACAAGTTAGAAAACTAAAGTTACAAGTTACGAATCCAAAGTTACGTGTCATGAAACATGTTCCAAGTTACAAAACTTGGTACAAGTTACACTGAATATTGTCCCAATCCTAGCTCCATATGTACCGAGCATAAAAACCTAGCCTGCACAACAATAATGCAATTATTGTATACAGCTAAATAAAATTCTCATCTCTTATTCTCACAGCTATAGCTTTTACAATCTTTCTTCTTCCTTCAAATTACCATAGTAACAATTTACATGCATGTACATTTCTTTTCTCAAAATACATTTTGGCAATACATGAAACAGTTTTTAACTCGCTTAACTAATAGTTTGAATCTTTTTTTCCAGTTTTAACCAGTTTTTTTAACAAGGATTATGATTAGCATGTAACCATAGAGTAATACAAAAATTACACAATAACAATATGATAATCAACAAAATTGACGTTTAAGATCCACAATATTCACATTCATTTGGAAAAATAAAACAAAAATAATTATTTGGTCCCTTCTGTTAGCAGAATTACCATTAACATCCATTAAAATGAACTCATGTGGCTGGCCAAAGTCAGTTAGCTTTAGTTAGCAGGTTGCTAGCAGAGTTTAGCAAGCACGTGGCGTTAACTCACCAAGATGAGGTATTAGCGTGCTTGAAGTGCCAGCACAGCCACCTGGTCTCTCTAGCGTGGGCTCCACGCAAGCCACTATAACACATAACCTAAATTAGCCGTCTAGAAAACTCAAATACTCTTAAACTTCTGTTCTGTATAGCGACTCACCCAATAAAAGGTATATACAGCTCGACTCAATCCCCTGAAATATGGTTCAGTGCGGCTCCTCTGCAATCTTCCTCCAGCTCTCCAAAGAGCAAAAAAGGCGCCTGAGTCTTTCACCTTGTAGGAAGGCGGGAACGCCACTCTCAACAAATGAGAGGGCAAGTTTAACTCGACGGGAGCACCAACCGGAATCAGGAACTAAGGAATTACACTTCCGTCTTTTCAAACTAAAAATATTTTCCAAAATTAAAGCATGGAAGTAAGCTGATGCAACAAATAAAATAAAATAAAATCATTTTATCTACTGGGTTACATTATGGTGGGACATTACAGTGAAATTATGAGAATGAGGTTCAATCTTTAAAGGGACTTTACGGAGTTTTGAATTTTTATGCTCGCGATTGCCCCCTCAGGCCAAAAACGTAACGGCAGCTTCAATAGTAGGCTCGTGCACGAGGCGCTCATGTTGTACGTGCACACTCCTTAACGAAAATAACAGCTGAGACAGTCCCGTGTGTGTGTGTGTGGCCCGGAGGACAGAGGACAGGAGAACGCGCAGCTAACTAATTAAATAATTTGGTTCTGTACCTTTCTCTTCAGCACAGCCGACAAAGGTTTAAGATGGGTCAGTCCGTCAGCTTCACAGAGTTTCCCTTCCCTTGCTTGAAAAATTGTTCCAAAATGAAAGTTGAACCCACATCTTTTTTATCTGTGAATTCAATGCCGTTCAGCGAGTCTCAAATAAAAATGTGGGCATCTTACTGTAAAAAAAAATACCATAAATGTAAAAAGAAACTCCAAAAAAACTGTTCACATCCAGAATCGAACGTGGATCTTCTGCATGAGAGTCAGACATCTTACTAGGTGAGCTAAAGCACCAGTTACGTTTAAAGTATCTGTAACTTCTATATCCTTGATGACACCTGAAACAACGTCAAACCAAAGAACGGTTCGGAGCGAAAATGACTATTTTGTTGCTAATTTGCCGGAAATATCTTGAAGAAAGTTATACAGAAAGTAGCTAAGGGTCCTCAGAAATGTAGCTAGGTTTGTCTCTAGGCGTTACGAACAGCGACAAAGTCGCTGAGTTGGCACCATCGACTACCTCTCGCTCTGCTAAAGCGACGGATAGCAAATGCTACGGGCTATGCCTGAGCGTGAACGCGCATGAAGCAGCCTGCTCGACCCGAGCAGCTCTCTTTTTCTGTGATTTTACAGAAAAACAGGCAATCACAGTAAAAATACCAGGGCTCATTCTACAGGACCAGGGCATTGCAGGAGAATGTATGAAGAAGACATTTATTATTTCTATACATGTTTTGGCTGTAGAAAGTAGAAGAGTAGGGAGTAGAAAAACAACAGGCTCCGCCCACTGCTCAGTCACTAATTAACCCACTACTACTACTAATAATAATAATAACAACAATAAATCTCCCAAAATGCTAATTAGTAAGATTCCTTTGCTTTGTAGTGCTCTAGCCTGCTGAGAGCTTAAAAGTTAAAAATTGTTACTGACAGCAGCTACATCTAAGTGTTTATTGTTTGAATGCTGTTAAGCATTCAAACTATTGTTTTCCTGTTTTCTTCGTATTCTGCTTCCGTACACTTTTTGAACCTTTTCTACTCCTTCAAATTTTTAACTATTTAAACAATTTTTTCAATTAATTTCAATTCAAGTTTATTTATATAGCGCCAAATCACGACAAGAGTCGTCTCAAGGTACTTCACCTAATAAACATTCCAATTCAGGTCAGTTCATTAAGCCAATCAGAAATAATGTTTCCTATATAAGGAACCCAGCAAATTGCATCAAGTCACTGACTAGTGTCAGTGACTATACAGCAATCCTCATACTAAGCAAGCATATAGCGACAGTGGAGAGGAAAACTCCCTTTTAACAGGAAGAAACCTCCAGAGAATCCTGGCTCAGTATAAGCAGTCTTGGGACCACATAGGTCAATGCGCGTTTGCGAACTATGGACCTCGTACATCACCGCGTGCTCCATAAACTGAACTGTATGGCCGGCGGTGAGATGCCTTTGTGTCCCCTCGTGGAGTTAACCGCCCACCGACCTTCCTCCTTCTACACTACTACTACGCACGCACACACACACCAGGGGTTGCATGACTTAATTTTTTTAAAGTCGACAGTGAAGTAATGAAAATCGAGTCGACTTGACGTCATACGCCTGGGGGGGGGGGGGGGGGGTCGGTATGTTCGCTGGAGTTTTTGACAATTAAAATTGCGCCCAAATCGAAAGAAAGAAAGAATTTTCTAAGTTAAACGCATCTCTTTTAACAACGGTAGTTTCTGCATCCTACTTCAGTCCTCTCCCCCCTCCCCCTGCGCAGCTTATGCTACTCATTTCACAGTTCCCGCCATTACACTTTTCACCTCGCGCACCCCCTAGAAGCAGCTCGCGCACCCCTGGGGGTGTGCGCACCACACTTTGGGAATCCCTGTCTTAGTAGATATTCTATTTGGTGAGAGATAGACTTTATTGTATTTATCCTAGTGGATCTATAATTAAACGGATAAACTAGCAGTAGCACATCCAACGTCAATATATCAAAACGTTCAGCTCGTTAAGCTCTTTCCGGCTATTACTTTTGGCATTGATATCTTTAAAATTTTTCGAGTTATTAAGCTTTTTCAGTGAAAATTTTCCCATTGAAATGAATGGGATTGGTCAGTTTTAAGCAAATTCCTATCACTTATTTTAACCTAAAACTCTATTGGATTCCTTTTAACTTAAAGACTTCATTCAAAGTTTAACAAACTCACAAGACTTTCCTGTTAAACATATTCAAGAGGCTTTTTGATATCTTTTATGGTTTTTCTAAAATCGCAGGTAGAAGTTGAGGTACGACTTGAAATTTTCAGAAAAATTCACAAAAGTTATAATGGGGAAAGATAGGAGCAGTTACCCTCCCATGCTCCATTTCTGGCGTTGTTCCGAGAGAACCATAGGTCCGATTGAAATGAGACACACGCTGGCTTACAGCTAAGGAACATACCTTCGTTTTGGGCTATAATTCATGACTGTACTCCAAACATTGTGGTCGTACGGTTCATTTGTTTGAGAAAAACCAAATTTAAAAAAATGTTTCCCACCACTCTTAACTGAAAATTCTGCACTCTAACTTTTGAACTTCACATCTTCTGTGAACAGCTCCTTACTACCCCCAGATCGTTTGGACTACCGAAACAAATTATATCTCAAAAAGTAGGTATTTTTGTCAGCTTTTCAGAATGGGTTTCATTTTATCTGTAAGTGTTACCGTTCTTTCGCTACAAGCCTCAGAACGAGGAGAGACCCTGATTCTGTCTCATTGAAACCCATGTTAAAGGAACTGAGATTTTCTCCTCTGATCAGCGTCAGACGGCTAAAAGTTTCTTCTAGACAACTCATGGTAGGCACATAAAAATTCACACAGATGGCCATCAAAGCCTTCTGCCGCTCACGCTTTTTGAATTTTTCAAATCGGTGAAGTACTTTTCGAATGGTGATGAGAAAATTGACAGATCCAATTTCACTTCTGAAGGACAGATTTAAAGGCTTCTCTCATTAATGGGAGTACAGCTGCAGGCCTCCAACAGCCGGGGGAAAGGCAGGAAAACAATGCTGCTCTCGGATTGGTTGAGAGTGTTCAACCATTTTCTGTCCATGCAGGATCCAGCATCCACACATGACACACCAAATCGACCAGCTTGGTCTCAGGAATCTTGTATTCAGTTTTAAATACGTGATATGTTACCATGGTAACACAAGTGCATACGTATATCCCCAATCCATGCTTTCGTTCTTTTTTAAACACAGAAACAGTCAGCCGTAACAGAACATTGCTTAAGAGAAAACCATATAATGGACTGGGACAGCACACGGATCATAACCACTGAACAACAAAAATACAAAAGATGGATCAAGGAAGCAATAGAGATAAGGAGACGTGGATGTGGGACCATGAACAGGGACGACGGAGTTTACACGCTGGACCACGCATGGGACTGCATCGTCGGAGAGGGGAGAGCGGGCAGTAGAGGGCGACAACGTCCTCTGCTGCCCGCAGATAAACGGAGAAGGAAGTGACGCGCCACCATCAGCGTCAGCCTGAAGAAGCCGGCAGCTGTCGGCGAAACCGTAGCTACAAACAGGTAAACAAAACTGTTTCTGTGTTTAAAAAAAGAACGAAAGCATGGATTTACAAAGACACAGCAAGAACACACCTAAGATGTATATCCCCAAACAAGTCTTATTGAAATGAATGTGAAATCTTTAAATACACAGCTCATTTTGACAGTTTAGCTTAGTTTCAGGTTCACTTCAGCAATCCGTTTCTGAATTCGGCTTATGCTACTCATTTCACAGTTCAACTAAATATAAAAATTAAACTGTTAAACTAGTCCTACTCAAACAACAAGTGTTTAGACGTTTTTGCTGTCCAGATTTTTAAATAATGTTCAGATTTCAGTTTTCTGCTGTTTAGGATTGTTTTCTCCGTTTTCCACTTTTTGTGCTTTATTTACATTTTGGTGCTTTTTGCTTCTAAATCTTTCAAAACATTCAGCTCATTTTAACAGTTTAGCTTAGTTTCAGCTTCACGTGAGCTATTCAGCAGCTTCAGTAATTAGTTTCTGAATTCAGCATATGATGCTAATTTCACAGTTCAGCTAAATGTAATAATTAAACTGTTAAAATAGTCCTACTGAAAAAACAGGTGTTTAGACATTTTAGCTGTCCAATTTTTATACAGTGTTCACAGATTTCAGTTTTCTGCTGTTTAGGATTAGTTTTCTTGATTCTTCACTTACTTTTTGTGCTTTATTTGCTTGTTGGTGCTTTTTGATTTCACATCTTTCACTACATTCAGCTCATTTGACAGTTTAGCTTTGTTTCAGCTTACTTCAGCTATTCAACAACTTCAGCAATCAGTTACCAAGTTTAGCATAAACTGCTAATTTCACAGTTCAGCTAAATGTGAAGATTAAACTATTAAACTTGTCCAACTGAAATAACAGGTGTTGAGACATTTTAGCTGTCCAGTTTTTATACAATGTTCACATATTTCAGTTTTTTGCTATTTAGCATTATTTTTCTCTATTCTTCACTTACTTTTTGTGCTTTATTTGCTTGTTGATGCTTTTTGCTTCCACATCTTTCAAGACATTCAGCTCATTTTGACAGTTTTGCTTTGTTTCAGCTTCAGTTCAACTGTTCAGCAGCTTCAGCTTACAGTTTCAGCTATCCAGCATTCAAACAGCATTTGTGCAATAAATGCTATTTTTCTAGTTCATTTTCCTTTAGACTGAATAGTTGCTGATTTTATCTTGGAGACGTTTCTCCTCACATAAGCTTCAGATCTAAAGCTTGGGTTGTGAGTAGGAGGCTTAGAAGTTCTGGTCAGAAACAAACACGCTGATTGTGATGGAAGTTTTTATTGTTCCTAAAGTAGAAATCTGTTTTTATCTAAATGAAGTTCATGTTCTTGTTCCTTTTTCCCACATCATGTAGCCAGTATCACTCATGGTGTAAATATAAAGGTATGGTGGTCTGTAACATCATGTGTCTGTGTTTCCTACAGATGTTCCACAGCTGGTGCTGGTTAAAGAAGAAGCTCCTGAAGAACAGAGTGCTGGTGTGGACCAGCAGGACCCAGAACACCTCCACATAAAGGAGGAACAGGAGGAGCTCTGGACCAGTCTGGAGGGAGAGCATCTCTGTTTGAAGAAGGAGACTGAAGCTGTCGGGTTTCCTGTTACTGCTGTTTCTATAAAGAGTGAGGATGATGAAGAGAAACCTCTGGTCTCACAGCTTCATCAGCAGCAAATAGAAGACAGAGATGTTCCAACCAGCAGCTCAGCTGACCAGATGGCAGCAGAAACTGGTGGAGGAGCAGGAACTAGCAGGAACCCAGATCTGAACCCTCATGAACAAACACCTGATTCTTCAGAGACTGAAGTTAGTGGAGATGATGATGATGATGATGGTGTGAATCTGGACTCTGAGCTGTCAGACTCTGGGTCTGAAACTGGAGATGAAGATGATGACTGGAATGAGAGCAGGTCTTCTGAGTCAGATGGTAAGTCTGTCAAGTTCTTCACAAGTGGTCTCTCCAGAGACACGTGAGGGAGACAAGTCATCCAGCAATAAGGTCTTCAGGCTGTTTGGTTCATAAGAAATGTGTTAGAGTGAAGCAACATGTAGACTCGTGCAGGAAAGTCCAGAAGAAACCTAAATCATTTAGTCATGATGAGTGTGGAGAAAGGTTTACTACAAATGTAAATAAACAAATCACATGAGAGTCCACACATAGCAGCTGCTGTTCCAGAGTATGGGCCAGCCTCATCCCACCCATACTCTGCTTCTGGCCGCTAACAAGATGGCGCCTGTGTTTGGAATAGCCACAGGTCCGTTTCCACATTCCCGCCTGGCCACGGGGCAGCGCTGTGTCTCCGTCCATGTTTCCTCGGGTCTGTTTATCCTGGTTCTTCAGTGGTTTCCCTTCCTGTTCCCTCCATGAGTGGACTTTACACACCGTGGATCTGGGGAGAAATGGGAGAAATTATGACACGTCTCTAAATAACAACCCATATAACCACTGATTTGATCTCATTTCAGAGAAAAATAGAACAGGTTAGATGCACCTAATAAATAGAATTACTAACAAACTCAAGAATCTTTCTTTGCTTCACTGTTCTGATGCTGAAAATATCACTAATGCGGATCAAGGAGATACACAGATGAATGCACCTCTTATTTATTATTTGGAGACTACATTTACTGCAGCTGGCAGAGGCAGAGATTGTTTCTATTGATACACGGATTTACAGAATCATTTTAAATGTTAATAGGGGAAGACTGCAGGAGGGAGCGGTAAAATACAGTGGGTCCCCAGCAAAAACAAGAAACTACGAGTCTGATGAAACCCGCTGGTTTTCCATCAGGCAGTCACGGGGCAGCTTCAACGACTCAGTGTGCTGGGTCAATGTTATCGAGCTCAGTCCGGTGTCGGACACCGGCTCGGCCGTGAACGAGCCGAGGCGACGTCTTGCTCTGCTTATGAAGAGGTGTTATTTTCCCGCTTCAGAAGAAGCGTCCAACGTGTTTTTACGCTTTCTCCGAGACATGTCACGTCGCTAAGTTGTTAGCGCCGCGCGCTAACACGTCAATAGTGCAGCGTAGCCTGCTGGAGGTTTTAAGGGTTCAGATGAAAACACCCGACCTCTCACGCTGCTCACACATCGATCTTAAGTTGTCGCTGTTGCGCTCACGCCGTAATACAGTATTAGATGTGGTTAAAGTCAGACACGAAAAAAGAAACTTGGGATCTTGTAGGCGTGGCGGTGGGATTTCAGCCGTGGTGGCGCGCCACAGCTACGCCTATGTAAGGGAAACCCTGTAGAATAATACATTCATTTAATAATAAACATAACATTTCCATAACATAATCCCTCTTGTCCAATAACATCACCTTTGTTTAGACCTAAACATTTTCAAAAGAGAAACTAAAGAAAGACCATCAGTGTGTTTATTTCTGACCATAACTCACAGCCTTCTACTCACAACCAATGTGAAGAAGCCTCTAGGATGAGAAGAAAAACGTCTTCAAGATGACCAGAAATGTCCAGCTGTTTTTATATTAAAGCTCAGGATGATCACGTCCAGGATGACAGAGATTTATAGGATTAGATTTGTGCCAATAGGATCAAGAAAAAACACTTTGGAGAGCAAACAAATTTTAAGACATTGAGAGAAAAAACATTCGTTTCAAAAGAAAAACTTACGATCTGAATCAGATTCTTAAAATGATCAAGAAAAGCACTTTGACGGTCAAACAAAAATTAAGAAATTGACAGAACAAAAATATTGACTAAAGGAAAAAAACATGTTTCAAAAGTAAAACTTACTAACTGAATCAACTTCTTACAATGAGTAACAAAGTATGTTTCCTTTTTCTGTTTGCCTCCATGTGTTTTTGTTATCAATTTCCTTAGTTTCATTCTCGCTGCTCACAGCTTTGCTCTCACTACTAGATTTGCACTTACACTGTCTGGCTTTCTCCTTTGCAATCCCTGAGTTTTTGGTTGCAATTCTGTCACAACCCTTTCGGGTGGGTGGGACCTCTGAGAAGTCCTCCCCCATAGGACAGTGGTTTCTCTTGAGTGACAGTTCAGTGACCCAGAAGTGATGTAGCCTCCAAGACTTTTTTTTTTCCACCTGGTCAACAACATGAATTTTGAGCCCCAAACACGTTATTTCTGCTGTCTGTGGTGTCTACTGAGGATCTAAAGTGAGTATTGATAATATATTTTATCTTTTCTTAGTTAATCTGTAAGTTAAGCCACTTTTTAAGTTGGTTTTAACCAGACGTTAGCTCACTAGCTAGCTGCTAAGCAAGCCATTGTGCTAGCCTCAGGACAATGGTCTATTGTTCCAGAGAGACGTATTAAAAACTCATCTTAACATATTCATTAATGGTTTCATGGAATTGATTATTGCAGTTTATGTTAATAAGTTTGCTAATTTTTCAGGAACCTGTGGAACATCAGAGACTTTGCAGCTATTAGAGCTAACCTGTGTACTGCTAACTTGCTACAGAGGAAGCAGCAGAAAGCTGAGCTAACAGGCTGTTTTGCAGGTAAATACTCTTTTAGTGGAACTGCAGGATTTTTATAGCCTAGTGAACTAGACCAAATTCTTGCTTTGCAAAGAATGGTCTAGGCACTAGGGTTGTCACGGTAACCGGTATAGCGGTAAACCCCAGTAAAAAAGTTGACAATAAAAATAACCGTCCAGTTTTTAAAAAACTAAATTATCTCGGTGGGTTTACCGTGGCCGCGGTTTCGGAGCGGTGACCCTTACCAGCCACCGTCGCTTCAGCTGAAGTTCCCGCGGCGTGCACTTTTTAGTTTGCAACGGCACCAAAACTTTGAAGCTGAAATAATGGCCGAAGGAGGAGACGGCAGCGCCCAGGACATCCATCAGCCCTCAGAGAAGACTAAATCGGAAGTTTGGGCATATTTTGGATTTCTGAAAAATGCTGAGGGACAGTTAATAGAAGACTGCTATCCCGTTTGCAGAACGTGCAGGAAACAAGTGTCTGCAAAAGGCAGCAACACTTCGAATCTAATGGCACATCTGCGTGACCATCACCCACGTCTCTACAGCCAGTGCAAGGTAAGTTAACATTAGCATTTTAGCTTAAATGCATGACGTGAGGACTTTTGGTTGAGAGAGAATGCAACGAGTCACTTAGGGCTGTAGCGAAGCCTCGACGAAGTCGACGGCTCGATTCTAAAAATTTGTCGACGTCAGATCCGGAAGTCGACGCACCGCGCCCACTTGTTGCATCCCCAGGAGTTTGTAAATAGAGGAGGAATCTGCCTGTTTTTCCTCTAGTTCCCCCTCTTCTCCGCCTTCACTAACATCTCCGCCAAATACCGAAGACCCGGAACAACGTCCGTCCACTACTAGATTATTTTCCTGTTTTGCCCCTTCGTCTCCCGGCAACGGACAACAACTTCCGGGGTCAGATGCGCTGCTTCGTGCCTACCGCAGATGTAGAAAATCACCGGGAGCGCTTCTCCCTTCATTAAGGAGCTTCTTTCAGACATGAGGAGAGCTGTTTTGGTGGTAGCAGTCTCTCCTCCATGCTGGTCTGTTTGCTGCTGGGTGTTTTTGGTTTATTTAAACTTGGTAACTTGAACTTAATGTTGGTAAAGCTACTGTTAGCATCTTCGCTAACAGCTTCTTGCGTTGGGATAAGCTGTTACGTTTTGGTTTAGAGTTCATCTTTTTTGTGGTGTAGATCTCCCTTTCATTACATTTAGAGTGTTGTGGGTTTTCGGTTTAGTGTAAAATATCACCTGAGTTTGGTTTAACCCGTAAGACCACTCGCCTCACGCACATAAGTGACCAAAACAAAGCAGCATGGAGACACTCCATCTTCTACCACCTCTCAGGCAGCAGCCTGCACTCCCAAGTTCTACACGTCACCAGAACATAACCAACCAACACAATAAAAGCAGTGTTATACAAAATGGAAGGCCTGTAGTGTTTATTCTCTTACAGTAAGAATTTATCAGTTTTTTTGAGGAATTTATTTGAGATTTTCTGGTTTTTGTTAATTGTGCAATAGAAAAATAATCATTAGATTAATTTTCTAAATAGTCATTAGAATAGTCGACTATTCGATAAAATAATCGTCAGAATAATCGTTTTAAAAATAATCGTTTACCCCCAGCCCTAGAGTCACTATATACTGCAGCCGCAGCGTCCTCTGCCAGCATTTAAACCGTGTCACGGACACCCTGTTGCTGGATGAAGCATCTTATTTGTTGATGATGAAGAGAAATATACAATTAGTTCCTTGGCATTGATTTGTTTACTTATTCAATGCCATTTATACTTGAACATTTGGATTTGATTACATAGTGTAGTAGTTATTTTAGTAATTTGTTTAAAGTGGCCATTTATTTTAAATACATATTTTTTAAGGTTGACTTGTACAGCGCTCAAGTCAAGTGTGGACTGGAGTTTTAGATTTTCATTTTGATAATGAAGAAAACAAGTATATGAGAAAACAAGTGGTGTTTCTTTGATTTGTTTACATATTGTTTATGTTTTGAATGTTTGGATTTGTATAATTTAAACCTGCACAGACTATTGTAACATGTTCCAGAAAAAGAAGCTATTTGTTCCTTTACTTGTGAAAAGTTGCCCTTTTGCTAAGGCTTTTTGTTATTTTAGGTTTAATAAACACTGTTAAACTATTTCAGTTTGTGTAGAACAGGACTATCAATGCTTTCTGAACATATGCAACACCGTTTAAAAAATACCGCGATAATACCGAAAACCGTGATAATTTTGGTCACAATAACCGTGAGGTTAAATTTTCATACCGTGACAACCCTACTAGGCACTCTCCATTGGAACCTCAGCAGCTCCTACCAGGACTCTGGCTAGCCAATCACAACTCTCTAGAGGGGTTTCAAACACACAAAGAGCTGTGATTCGTCCATAATGGTGGGCCAATCATAGTGCTCTATCTGCTTAGTGAACAAATCACAGAGCTTTATCCGCTTTGTGGGCCAATCAGGGCACTCTATATGCCTGGTGGGTGGGATGATGCAACAGAGTGAAACAAGAGTATGTCACATTCATTGTCCAGTGGAATGCGGAGATCATTTGAAAGACAACAGTAAAATCCGCCCCACAACCGAGAGCCGTCAATGGAGCGTGGCCAGACTAAATAATACATTTATTTAGTCTGGCTTGCCAGGCTAGGATTTTTGTGGTACTCAGACAGAATCTACATGAGCTATTGTGGGAAGACATTTAAACTACATTTACATACAGATACATGTATTTTTTATTCCATGTTACTTGGATGGGCTAAACAAGTTCATAGTTCTGCCTGCTCCTTTTTCAGTGAAACGAATGGATTTTATGATGTAACTCTGTTTGAATAATTATCTAAGTGAGTATGTTTAATAATGAATTTCTTACCAGTATACCGATCTGACATTTGTTTGTCAGAACAGGACAAATGAGATTCAATGTGCTTTCTGTCACGTGTTCTGTATTCTCCATCAAAAGAATGTTATCCAGGACAGATAATCAATAATGAGTTAAATACATGCTTTTAATTAATTTTTACATAAATCTATATTTTTGTCTAAAAACTATTTATTTTTTTAATTTATTCTTTTCTTTCTTTTTAGATTGAAAACTACTGCATTGCATTACAATGGAAGTGCTACACAGCCACATGCATCAACTGCAGCTGGTGAGCTAAGACACACCATAGTGTACACAAAGTACACTGCAGACAAGGGATGTAAGAAAATATCGATATGGCAATATATCGTGATATTTTTTTCTGAGATATTACATCCATTTTCAAAAGCAGTGTATCTAACTTTTGGAAGAATTTACATGCAAACATTTGTGTATTTTATTTGTTTTTGGTGCACTTTAAATGTCGTCCGCTAGTTGGCAGCAGTGTGCATTGGGTTTTGTTTCCACCATTGAAATTTAAATCTCGCTATTATGGTTCAGATAACTCATGTTATACATGTTAAGTATCAGTTTGGACTGTTTATTGAATATTCCTACAATAAATTCAGTCAAAAATACACATCCCTACTGCAGACCAATCCCACCTCATGTAGTTCATATGCTGTATAATAAACCCACAGTGATGGTTATGGATAAATATTTGTACTAATGGTAATCTTTTTCCATCGTTTCCAGTTGACAAGCATATGGACCTATTGTTCGAGTCTGTGGTGGTGGATGCTCTATCATATCAGGAGTCTGTGGTGGTGGATGCTCTATCATATCAGGAGTCTGTGGTGGTGGATGCTCTACCATATCAGGAGTCGGTGGTGGTGGATGCTCTACCATATCAGGAGGCTGTGGTGGTGGATGCTCTATCACAGTGGTTCCCAAACTTATTTAGCCGCGCACCCCCTTCTATGTCCCGACCATGTCGACGCCCCCCCCCCCCCCCCAGCCCCCACATCGGGGCATGGCTCTATATCTATATATATATATATATATATATATCAGATGTCAAGCTAAACAGACAGGGTTAAAAAAATTCCCCATCACTTTCATTTTTTTAAATAGTAATTAATAAACATTCGATACCATTACAATTTCCTTTGATTTCATTTTAAATAAATATTTATAGAGTGCCCAGGTAGCACATCAACAATGCAATTTAACGGTTTTCTTAAAGTAGGAACGTTTAACCTGTGCGGCCAGAGCGCTCTCCTTCCTTCTGCTCTGCGTAAACCTGAGCTGATCACCTACTTGTGCATAATCAAATGTCAATAGGGTCAAGATATAGCCATGATGTTCACTTTTACCTCAGACCGACTTATTGCTGTTTTATGGTGTGGCTGAATCTGTGATCCGCTGTCATGCGGACCGGAATAACACATGCTGCAGTAACGTGAGATGTGGTCAGGTTCATGAGGAGTCACTGGCTGGAGCGGACCCGACTCACCCCAGAAGCTAATATCTTAATTTGACCTTGAATGAAAAATAACCTCTTAAAAGTTTTTATCACGGTGGAGGCAGCGTTCATTTCTGCCTTCAGTCTGACAGCGAGCCGGAGTTAAAGCAGCGTGTGCGCTTATTGAATCTGTGTGTGTGTGTGTGTGCGCGCACGCGCGCGTGGCACAGCCGCTCAAGTCACCGCGTCTCGCGCTATTTAAACCAATGTTGTAAAATGACTTCTGCCCAGCCCAGATGTGCTCACTTGTGCACACGTGAGCCGTGGTTCAGCCGGAACACGTCTGACCTCTGACAGACGCACTCTGAACGTCAGATCTTCAGCGCGCTGTCAATAGCCTGAATGGGAATCATTTCTTGTTATTTTGTTACATCCACAATGTTCTGTGTGTGAGGTTTACAATGTCAGAACACCTGCATGAGACAGGTGTTAATTACAATCTGCCAGAATGACTCGCCACCTTCAGATTCCTCCAACACCGTTAAAATGATCAAATACGGAACATATCGGAGTGCGCAGGCCAGAGCGCTGAAGCTCGGCGCATTGTTATTATGAAGCTAGGGCACATGTGGAGGACACGCGCGCGCGCAAAAATATACTTGTTTTCAATGACATTTATTGTGCCCACTTACTTTTTCTTTGGCCCACCCACAAATGAGTTTCTACGCTAATGGTGACACATGACAGACTTCTCTGAGCTCCGCAGCCATTACACTTTTCACCTCGCGCACCCCCTAGCGGCAGCTCGCGCACCCCCAGGGGTGCGCGCACCACACTTTGGGAATCCCTGCTCTATCATATCAGGAGTCTGTGGTGGTGGATGCTCTATCATATCAGGAGTCTGTGGTGGTGGATGCTCTATCATATCAGGAGTCGGTGGTGGTGGATGCTCTATCATATCAGGAGTCGGTGGTGGTGGATGCTCTATCATATCAGGAGTCTGTGGTGGTGGATGCTCTATCATATCAGGAGTCGCTGGTGGTGGATGCTCTATCATATCAGGAGTCGGTGGTGGTGGATGCTCTATCATATCAGGAGTCTGTGGTGGTGGATGCTCTATCATATCAGGAGTCTGTGGTGGTGGATGCTCTATCATATCAGGAGTCGGTGGTGGTGGATGCTCTATCATATCAGGAGTCTGTGGTGGTGGATGCTCTATCATATCAGGAGTCGCTGGTGGTGGATGCTCTATCATATCAGGAGTCTGTGGTGGTGGATGCTCTATCATATCAGGAGTCGGTGGTGGTGGATGCTCTTTCATATCAGGAGTCGCTGGTGGTGGATGCTCTATCATATCAGGAGTCGGTGGTGGTGGATGCTCTATCATATCAGGAGTCTGTGGTGGTGGATGCTCTATCATATCAGGAGTCTGTGGTGGTGGATGCTCTATCATATCAGGAGTCTGACTAAGTACCTGTGCCTGAACCTCTCTGTGTCTAGTTCAAAAGACCTGAAAGACCTGCTGTAAGCAGGCACAGGTTAAGATTTTAAAAGAACCTGTAAGGTGAGCAACACAACAGAATATAAATCTTTATTATTATTGTACGCTGTACAGCTAGAATAAACTTGCATGCTCAGAAGCCACGTATGATTACATCACCTACAGGTTGCCTGATGCTGAACTTCGGGCAGCTGCGTGTACTCCTGTGGGAGGAGTCGTTGTGTTGCTGTTAGGAGTTTGGGTCGGAGTCCTGGGTTTGTGTTCCCTTTAATCTCTTCATTAGCCTTGCTAGTCACCATTGCAGAGCACCATGGAGAGGCTTACCTGAAAATTCTTCTCATGGGGCATGCACATCCTCACACACCTGTAACCCCATCGTTGAATAAAAGCTGGTAGCTGGTCACTCATCAGAGTGTTTTAACCCATATCTAGCCCATGACTCAGCCGTTTTTCAAACTTACGTTCTCATGTTCTATGCAGATCTATGGGAATTCTTTCCTTGAAGCTCCTGATCACACAACCATACTGGCAGTCGGCTTACCCACTACCTTCTGCTCACCCGCTTGCAACTCATGCTGTCATTCTCCCAGACTTCTGGTTGTTTCTCCACCATTCTGCTGTCTCCCGTCTGCGCTACAACTTCACACCGTAAGTACCCAAACTTTTCCTTTTGTAAGTCTCTCTTTAGTCATTATTAACACTCAATTTTACCTCAGGGCCTTCTGATCTTTAAACACTAAAACCTGTGGCTCCATCTCTGTGGCGTTTCTCAGTCTCTGTAAGCTACCTGCACAGTCTAAGAAAAACCTGACCTGTTGCCTCTTACTAACCTCTGCTCTTCCTCGCAGAAGCTTCTGGTTCCTGATCTCCAGCAGTTACCTCTTCAGTCATCCGTCAAACATTTTAATAAACTGTTTTTAGCTCATTTGTCTCCTGAGTTTCTCTGCATGAAGGTCAGGTTGTTGCAAGAATCATTGCATTTGCAATTACTTTGCACCACTCTGTTAAACAGCTGATATTAATTTCAAGTGTATCTTTAAAAATACATTGAATGTCAAAGTGAATGAAAGGCATCCATTCAGCTTTCGGTGTCTAATGCAGGATTTTATGGACAGGCACCAAAACAGGAAATTTATAAATTGAGATTTATTTACTAAATCAGGTAAACCAAAATAAAGTATTAATGTTTAAGGTCCAGAGGAGGGAGGAAGGCTTTATAGCAGGGGTATTCAATTCTAGTCCTGGATGGCTGGTATCCAGCACGTTTTAGTTGTTTCCCTGCTCCAACACACTTGAATCAGTGGTTGAATTACCTGTGCAGCAGCTCTGCAGAAGCCTGTTAATTATCTGCTGACTGAAATCAGGTGTGTTGAAACAAAATCCACTTTTTTATCTGATATTATTAGCTCTAATGAGCATAACCTAAGAGTACTATTTTCTACCGTGGATGAGATTTGAAATCCTTCGTGTGCAGGTTGTCAGTCTGATCAGACTGGATGAAGGAGATGAACAAGGTGAGACGTTTAACAGTTTTATTATTTCTCTGGTCGTATCTCTGTGAGGAAGAAACGATGACTGAGATGAGAAGCCGGTCACGGCGTCTTCCATATATAGCCTTGCTTGGCTGTGACGTGGAGGGAATCCCCGCGAGGAGCACGCTGGGAGCTCCCCACGAGGGGCATGTCGGGAGTTGTGGTCCGAAGGTCAGCCGGGAGATACCTGAGTCCTGGTCGTATCTCTGTGAGGAAGAAACGATGACTGAGATGAGAAGCCGGTCACGGCGTCTTCCATATATAGCCTTGCTTGGCTGTGACGTGGAGGGAATCCCCGCGAGGAGCACGCTGGGAGCTCCCCACGAGGGGCATGTCGGGAGTTGTGGTTCGAAGGTCAGCCGGGAGATACCTGAGTCCTGACAGGACCCCCCGGTCCAGGGACGGCTCCAGAAGTCCCAGCGCGACCCCGGCGGACCCAGAAGTCAGAGATCAGGGAAGGGTCCAGGATGGACCGAGCCGGCTCCCAGGAGCGTTCCTCGGGGCCATAGTCCTTCCAGTCCACCAGGTACTGCCAGCCCCGACCCCTGCGGCGAGCGTCCAGGATGCGCCGGACGGTGTAGATAGGCTCACCGTCGAGGAAGCGGGCAGGAGGCGGCGCCGGAGCCGGAGGCGGGAGAAGGGAGGACTCCACGTAGGGCTTGAGCCGGGAGGTATGGAAGGTGGGATGGATGCGGAGAGTAGCCGGCAGCCGCAACCGGTACGTGACCGGGTTGATGACCCTTTGGATGGGGTATGGGCCGAGGAACCGAGGGGCGAGTTTCTTGGACCCGGCACGGACCCGAAGGTCAGCCGTGGACACCCAGACCTTGTCCCCAGGAGCATAGGAGGGACCAGGACGGTGTCGACGGAGATGCTGGTGAGCATAGCTGGTGTTAGCTCTGGTTATGGAGGCTCGTGCTTTGATCCAGGTGCTCTTGCAGCGTCTCACCATGGCTTCCGCTGCCGGAACGGCGACCTCGGGTTCTTGGTGGGCAAAGACCGGGGGCTGGAAGCCATAGCAGACCTCGAAGGGGGACAGCCGAGTGGCAGATGAGGTATGAAGATTGTGGGACAGCTCCGCCCAGAGGAGGTATTTAGGCCACTGCGAGGGTTGAGCCGAGACAAAACAACGAAGGTACCGACCCAGCTGTTGGTTAGCCCGCTCCGTCTGGCCATTGGTCTGCGGGTGGTAGCCTGAAGATAGACTGACCGATGCTCCCATCAGCCGACAGAAAGCTTTCCAGAACCGGGCCGTGAACTGGGGCCCCCGATCCGAGACCACGTCGACTGGGAACCCGTGGAGGCGCACCACGTTCTCCAGGAACAGTTCCGCTGTGCGTTGGGCTGAGGGGAGACCCGGAAGGGCGATGAAATGGACAGACTTGGAAAAGCGGTCCGTAACCGTCATGACAGTGTTGAGGTTATTGACCGGCGGGAGACCCGTGACGAAGTCCAGCCCCACGTGGGACCAGGGGCGGCTGGGCACCTGAAGAGGTCGGAGGGCACCAGCCGAGGCCTGGTTGGGGTTCTTGGAGCGGGCACAGACGTCACAGGCGCTGGTGTATTCTTTCACATCCCTCGCCATGCCTGGCCACCAGAGGGCTCGCTGGAGGAATTTAAGAGTTCTGGAGAAACCAGCGTGGCCAGACAGGCGTGATGAGTGGGCCCAGGACAACGCCTCGCTGCGACAGGCCGTGGGGACATAGAGGCGACCCGCGGGGGTCTCTGGAGGCGCGGGGTCGTCCCGGAGGGCGTTCTGGATAGCTTCCTCCAACGGCCACCTCAGTTGGCCCAGGAAGCGGTGTTCCGGGAGGATTGGCGCTGGCTCGGACGAGGGCGTGGAGTGGGTGAATTGGCGGGAGAGGGCGTCCGCCTTCTGGTTCTTGGCTCCCGGGCGGTAGGCGAGATGGAAGTCATAGGGTTCAAAGAAGAGGGCCCAGCGAGCCTGGCGAGGGTTAAGCTGCTTGGCAGATTTAATGTGGGTCAGGTTCTGATGGTCAGTCCAGATCGTGAAAGGCCGAGTGGTGCCCAGAAGCCACTGCCTCCATTCCTCCAATGCCCATTTTATGGCCAGTAACTCACGGTCGCCCACACCGTACTTCTGCTGGGTGGTGGAAAACTTCCTGGAGAAGTAAGCGCAGGGATGGAGCCTGTCGTCGGGCCCGCCTTGAGACAGGATGGCGCCGACGTCAGAGGCGTCGACCTCAACCACAAAGGGAACTGCAGGATCTGGATGGCGGAGGATCGGGGCCGAGGTAAAGCGGGTGACCAGGTGGCGGAAGGCCCGAATGGCGTCGGGAGTTAGACGAAACAGCTGGCCAGGGGAGCCTGGTCGAGTGAGAGAGGTGAGAGGGGCTACGAGGGTGCTATAGTTCTTTATAAAACGGCGGTAAAAGTTGCAGAAACCCAGAAAACTCTGCAGTTGTTTCAGGCTGGTTGGCAAGGGCCAGTCCTTTACCGCCTGGATTTTCTGAGGGTCCATGGTTATCCCTTCGTCCGAGATCATGTAGCCCAGGAAGGATATGGACTGCTGATGGAAAGAGCATTTCTCGGGTTTACAGTACAGGTTGTGGTCCAGGAGCCGGGTTAGGACGGCGCGAACATGATGGATGTGTTCGGCCTCGGATTTGGAGTAGATCAGTATATCGTCCAGATAGGCGAACACCCACCGTCCCAGCATGTCGCGGAGGACATCATTAATGAGACGTTGGAAGACAGCAGGGCTATTGCATAGTCCGAAGGGCATAACCAAGTACTCCCAGTGGCCGGTGGGTGTTATGAACGCGGTCTTCCACTCATCCCTGGCCTTTATACGGACCAGATTGTAGGCGCTCCGGAGATCCAGTTTCGTAAAGATCCGTGCCTGGGAGATGGCATCCAGAGCGGTAGTGAGGAGCGGCAGAGGATGGCGGTCCTTGACCGTGATCTTGTTCAGACCCCGATAGTCTATGCAGGGGCGAAGATCGCCTTCCTTTTTCTTCACGAAGAAGAAGCCAGCGGCACCCGGAGAGGAGGAGGGTCGGATGAACCCCTGCTGGAGGGCCTGGGCGATGTACTCTTCCATCGCTTTGGTCTCGGGAGGCGCGAGAGAGAAAAGGCGCCCGCGGGGAGGACTGGTTCCGGGTAGCAGCTTGATCTCCATATCATATGGCCGGTGAGGTGGCAGGGAGGTGGCGCGCCGCTTGTCGAACACCGCGGCCAGGTCCCGATAGGGCAGCGGCAGGTGGGGCGGTGTGGAGCCAGGGCCCCCGTCCGGAAGACCCGCCGAGGATGGAGGAGGAACGAGGTGGGTCTGGCACGAGGTCCCCCAGCCCAGCAGGCGGTTCTGGGACCAGGAAATATGAGGGTCGTGGAGACGGAGCCAGGGGAACCCCAGGATTAGAGGAGAAGAGGGAGCAGAAATGACCAGGAAATGGAGGGTCTCCTGGTGGCCTTGGGTGATCATACGGAGTGACTGGGTTCGGTCTCGGACTGGGTAGGGTTGGAGAGGCCTACCGTCCACCGAGGTCACTGGTATAACTCTCTCCAGGGGTTGTAGGGGGATCCGTAGGCGTTTTGCCAGATCTAGGTCCATGAAATTGTCCGCGGCCCCCGAGTCCACCAATGCGTTTACGTGGAGTGAGGCCTCACCATGGAGGAGGGTGACAGGAATAAGGAGACGGTTAGTAGCGACAGGGGTAGAAGAAGACCCAGACTGAGCAACCCCAATACTCAGTGGGGCCCCCCGTTTCCCGATCGTAGCGGGCAGTCCAGGCGTCGGTGGTCGGGAGAGCCACAGTAGGCACAGAGGCCCTCGCGCCACCGTCGTTGTCTCTCCTCGGGGGGAAGGTGGCCGAGCTGCATGGGCTCCTCCGCCAGCATGGGTACAGGAGCTGGCGTGGGTGAACGAGGGCGAGGCACCGGCCTCCTGGGTGGACGCGTGGATAACTTGGGTCGAACCAGAACCCGCTGGTCGATGCGCAGCGCCAGATCAACCACCTCATCCAGGGTCTGAGGCAGCTCCCTTCCCGCCAACTCATCACGGATGTAGAGTGCCAGCCCCTCCAGGAAGGCGGCCCGCAGAGCGGAGTCATTCCACTGCAGCTTGGCGGAGATGGTGCGAAACTCCGACGCATAAGCGCACACCGAGCGTTCTCGCTGGCGGAGTTTGAGAAGGCGTGTCTCTGCTCCCACTTCGCTGCTGGGGGGAACAAATGTCTTCCGGAGAGCGGACACAAACGCAGCATAGTCGTTGCAGGCAGGGGATTTGGAATTGTAAAGCGCAGCAGCCCACTCCGCGGCGCGTCCGGAGAGCAGGGAGGTGAGATGCGCCACTCGGGAGCGCGCAGATGGGTAGCGTCCAGGTTGGCACTCGAACTGCATGTCCAGCGTGGCGAGCAGACCATCGGGGCTCCCCGTCTCCCCGTTCCACCTCTCCGGCAGGCTGAAGTGGGGCTCCTCCCTAGGAGCAGAGCGGGTTGGCTGCTGGAGTGCAGCGATCTGTTGCTGCTGATCGTTTGCCTGTTGTTGGAGAGCCGTGAGAGCCGTGGATAGACGCAGGGTGTGGTCGGACAAGGAGTTCACCTTGGTGTTGAGCTGATCTAACATGGAACGCAGCTGCACGTTCTCGTGGCGGAGACGATCGATCTCCGTCGAATCTACTCGGATCTCAGTCATCCTGTCAGGCTGATCAGACTGGATGAAGGAGACGAACAAGGTGAGACGTTTAACAGTTTTATTATTTCTCTGGTCGTATCTCTGTGAGGAAGAAACGATGACTGAGATGAGAAGCCGGTCACGGCGTCTTCCATATATAGCCTTGCTTGGCTGTGACGTGGAGGGAATCCCCGCGAGGAGCACGCTGGGAGCTCCCCACGAGGGGCATGTCGGGAGTTGTGGTCCGAAGGTCAGCCGGGAGATACCTGAGTCCTGACACAGGTGGACTTAAAGCCTCTGACTACTGCTGAGAGGTTTCTGACATAATTTATAGGCTGAAACTCCAACTATTCAAACTCGAATTCCCCAGCAATTTAGTTTTATTGATGAAGAAATCTGTTTTGATTCAACTACTTTGAATTCTTTTGACTCTGTCCCCCCAGATATTTTAGATTAAATTGTTGGAAGGATGAAACCATCCAGCTCTGCACTCAACATTGTTGGGTATTTTTATTTATTTAATCCAGGCGTACCTCAAAGAAAGTCCAAAACGCACAAGGGGGGTTAGAGATGTTATTGTTGTTATTACAATTTTCCAAAAATAAACATATAATCAATAATCAGATTTTTGATTACCGGGAGAGACTAAAGAAACACTCACACAACTGGGGGTCGGTTTAGTCTCCCAACAAGCAGAAGCTCATCAAAAGTTTTTATTCACAGATGACAAGGCACACACACATTGAAAGTTGACCCAACCTCCTCCTTCACAGCCCAGATTCAGAGAAGCTTTGTTGTGATAACACGACTGCAGACTTACAAGGTCGACTTTTCCCTCCAGCAGGAGCAAAACAACACCAGATGTTTTCCCAGACAAAATCATCATTTATGCATCCAATTATTTACCATTATAAATGTGGATAAGGTTAATGAACTCTGTTTGACAAAATAACACTATTTTTATCCAACAAACATCATTCCATCCTCTATTGTTAAAAATGTTTGGCCAGCTATTTCAAATATGGTTCAAAATGTAATCAACTCTAGTCTGCAGTGTGGGGAAGTTCCAAAGAGTCTGAAAAGAGCTGTAATCAAACCCCTTCTTAAGAAACCCTGTCTTGATGTCTCGGTTTTATCCAATCATCGAACTATTTCTACGCTGCTATTTCTTTCTAAGGTTCTTGAGAAAGTCATTTTTAAGCTATTGTCAGACCAGTTAGATAATAACAAATTTAAGAAGTTCTTCAATCAGCTTTTAGAGCAAAGCATAGTACTGAAACTTTTCTTGTGAGCGTGTCCAATGATATTTACCAATATACTGATGTGGGTGACAGTCGTATTATTACTCTTAGATCTGACCGCTGCTTTTGATACTCTTGATCATGTTATACTTCTCAATCGACTGGAGAATTTTTTTGGTCTCTGGGTCAACGCTCTTCTGGATGAGTTCCTACCTGTCTGACAGGTATGTGACTGTTAAGATTGGTAGCTTCGGCTCAAGGTATGCTCCCCTGAAATATGGGGTCCCACAGGGCTCTGTAGTAGGTCCTCTGCTTTTCATTTCATATTTGCTCCCTCTTGGGGCCATCTTTAGGAAATATGAGCTTGACTTCCATCTTTATGCTGATGACTGTCAGGTTCATGCTCCTGTTAAAGCCAAGGATTTAGCTCTGAGTTGTCTTCGTGAGGTTAATAATTGTGGATGGGTTGTAATTTTTTCCAGCTTAATGAGTCTAAGGCCCTGTCCACACGTAGCCGGGGATCTGCCAAAATGTAGATATTTTTCTACGTTTTGGCCTGTCATCCACACGAAAACTGAGTTTTTTCACACGAAAACGGATCTTTTTAAAAACTCCGACCAAAGTGAAGATCTGCGTTTTCTCTGTTTTGGGTGTCTGCGTGTGGACAGAGAAAACTGGAGTTTTAAGGTCCGCAACGTCACTTTCCGCGACAAAAAAATGCTGACATCACATGTGCGACCTGTGTTTACACTAGCCAAAATTATGGATGCCCTCATAGCTGCGCTCGCTTTATCAATTGTCCAAGCGCTTTTTGCTTGTTTGTTTTTGCAAGCGGAATTACTGCTCCTTGCGGAAGACCACAGTCGAGAGGCGAGGTTAAGAACGGGGGAAGTACTGCCGCCTACAGGTCTGGCATGTCCTTAACAACGTATTTATCCGGGTACGTGTGGACAGAGTTTTTTTTTTTAAAACGAGGTGGTGTGGATGCAAGTTTTTGGAGGGGCGGATATTCGTTTAAAAAAAAACCCCGGCTACGTGTGGACTAGGCCTAAGACGGAGTTGATTATGTTTGCACCAAGTGATCTGATTACTCAGACCACTTGCTCCTGTAGTTACTCAGTCTCATATGATGCAAAGGATGTTGTGTCTAATTTGGGTGTTAAGAATGATTCTCAGCTTAAATTTGATGTTCAAGTCAATAATGTGGTTCAAGTATGCTTTTTTCACCTAAAGAATCTTTATAAGTCTTTTTGATGAGGAATCGTTTTGAGAAGCTTATTCATGCATTTAATGCATTTTGTTTAGACTACTGGCTTTACTTGGGTGTTGATCATGGATGTATTGCTAGGCTGCAGCTAGTTCAAAATGCTGCAACCCGTCTTTAGACTGGCACTGGTCGATTTGATCATATCACTCCAGTTGTTGCCTCTCTGCATTGGATCCCAGTTCAGTTCTGTGTTGAATTTAAGATTTTGGTTCTGGTCTCCAAATGTGTAAATGGCCTTGCTCCTAGCTCTTTATCTGGAATTCTAGTGCCATATGTCCCATCTTGTGGATTAAGGTCAGCTGACCAAGTGAGCAGAACTAACTGTCATCAAAAGCTGCTGATCTAGCAGCATGATGCTCATTATTATTTTATGGGTTACAGACGAGTGTTGATGCTCTGTGTTTGTATTTCTGCAGCGAGCCTTATAATCTCACCTCTTTCCACCCACAGTTTCTTCTTAAACACGTATTACATTTACTGTTTTGATGCATTTTAACAAGCTTCCTCCGCGCCGTGATTTCATTGTAGGATACAAACTTTACAGCACTCTCACGGAGTAAAGGTTCGACAGATATTTTTGATTACATTTTTGCCCCTGCGTGTCTACAGTGTTAGGGAAAGGAAGGGAGGGGCCGATGCAATGCTGCTGTCAGGGTATCTCTAGGCTCCACAGTAGCAGCGACGGACGGCTGGCTTGACCGGATCTGAGAGGCGTTAATCAGAATTTGCTGATAGCGTTTTTTTCCTTCTACCAATCGCATAGTGATGTCTGGACTTAAAAGCAACTCATTAGATTCATAGTTATTTGTTAAAGTAATGCATTACCATAAATAGTAATGTGTTTATCAACATTGGTTATGTATAATACTGATAGCAAAAACACCCCTAGGTATTTTGTCTTGTCTTTTTACTGAATATTTTTCTTTTATATATTTCTGCTTGGTTCACTGCAGTTTCAAGGAAGAGAGAAGAGACGGATGAGAAACCTCTGCTCTTACATTTCCACAACCATCAAATGAAAGACGGAGGTGTCCAAACCAGCAGCTTGGCTGGGCAGATGGCAGCAAAAGTTGGTGGAGGAGCAGAAACTATCAAGAACCTAGATCTGGACCCTAATGAAAAGGCATCCGATTCATCAGAGTTTGAAGTTAGTGGAGAAGATGAAGATGACGTGAATCTAGACTCTGAGCTTTCAGACTCTGGGCCTGAAACTGGAAACAGAGACCATGGCTGTAATGCGAACAAGTATTCGGAGTCAGATATTAAGACCGTCAACAAATCATTTAGCTGCCCTGTGTGTGGTATACGGTTCCTCCACAAGTGGTCTCTTCAGGAACATGTGAGAGAGACAAGTCATTCAGCAGTGAAGTCTTCAGAGTGTTTGGTTAATACAAAATGTGAGAAAGAGAGGCAACGTGGAGGCTCATGCAGAAAAGTCCAGAAAGAACCAAAATCATTTCGTTGTGATGACTATGGGAAAAGATTTAGCCTAAAGTCCAGTTTAACCCCTCATATGAAAGCCCACACCGGGCAGAAGCCTTTTGCCTGTGAGCTCTGTGGGCAAAGATTTAGCCATAAACATAATTTAAACAAACACATGAAAGTCCACACAGGAGAGAAGCCTTTTGCCTGTGAGCTCTGTGGATACAGATGTACCCAAAAGGCAAATTTAAACACACACATGAAAGTCCACACAGGAGAGAAGCCTTTTGCCTGTGAGCTCTGTGGATACAGATGTACCCATAAGGCAAGTTTAAACACACACATGAGAGTCCACAGAGGAGAGAAGCCTTTTGCCTGTGAGCTCTGTGGATACAGATGTACCCAAAAGGCACATTTAAACAGACACATGAGAGTCCACAGAGGAGAGAAGCCTTTTGCCTGTGAGCTCTGTGGATACAGATGTACCCAAAAGGTGCATTTAAATACACACATGAGAGTCCACACTGGAGAGAAGCCTTTTGCCTGTGAGCTCTGTGGATACAGATGTATCGAAAAGGCAAGTTTAAACACACACATGAGAGTCCACACAGGAGATAAGCCTTTTGCATGTGAGCTCTGTGGATACAGATGTACTCAAAAGGCAAGTTTAAACACACACATGAGAGTCCACACAGGAGATAAGCCTTTTGCCTGTGAGCTCTGTGGATACAGATGTACCAAAAAATCAGATTTAAACACACACATGAAAGTCCATACAGGAGAGAAGCCTTTTGCCTGTGAGCTCTGTGGATACAGATGTACCCAAAAGGCAAGTTTAAACACACACATGAGAGTCCACACAGGAGAGAAGCCTTTTGCCTGTGAGCTCTGTGGGAAAAGATTTTGCCGTAAACATAATTTAAACACACACATTAGAGTCCACACAGGAGAGAAGCCTTTTGCCTGTGAGCTCTGTGGGAAAAGATTTTGCCGTAAACATAATTTAAACACACACAGTAGAGTCCACACAGGAGAGATGCCTTTTGCCTGTGAGCTCTGTGGATACAGATGTACCCAAAAGGCAAGTTTAAACACACACATGAGAGTCCACACAGGAGAGAAGCCTTTGCCTGTGAGCTGTGTGGACGTAGATTTAGCGGAAAGACAAATTTAAAGAGACATACGAGCATCCACAAAAGGCTCGAGGGATTTATTTAACAACAGTACTTCCAAATGTACTATCTAGTTCTTTTTTTACAACCTTAATGTTAGTCTTGTACCTCTGCTCAACTATCGTTGATCAAGTCCGTACTCGGCCCTTGAGCCACCTCTTTTAATTTTCATTTTCAAATCTCTTTTGTTTTTTAAACTCAGACCTTAACCAAACATTTGAGTTGTTCATTCATGAATTCTGAATACAAAAAAATATTAAAGATTAAGAAAAAACTGTTATACCCTCCTGTATTTAAGAAACAGACTAGATAACAGAGACATGATGGTAGATACCGGTGGTGTCTGCTTTAAACAATGTATCTGTATATAAAATAATAGCATACAATGTTGTAATAACTGCAGCTTAAATGGACTTTACAGAGTTTTGAATTTTTATGCTCGCGATTGCCCCCTCAGGCCAAAAGTGTAATGGCAGTTTCAATAGTAGACTCGTGCACGAGGCGTGCATGCTGTACGTGCACACTCCGTAACGAAAATAACAGCTGACAGCCCGTGTGTGTGTGTGTGTGTGTGTGTGTGGCCCGGAGGACAGAGGACAGGAGAACGCGTAGCTAATTAATTAAATAATTTGGTTCTGTACCTCTCTTCAGCACAGCCGACAAAGGTTTAGGATGGGTCAGTCCCCCTGCATGCTCAGATCTTTCCCTTCCCTTGCTTGAAAAATATTTTTTATCTCTGAGTTTATCTGTGAATTCAATGCCGTTCGGCGAGTCTCAAATGAAAATTTGGGCATCTTACTGTAAAAAAAATATATACCATTAATGTAAAAAATAAACTTTAAAAAAACAATGTTCACATCCAGAATCGAACACGGGTCTTCCGCTAAGAGTCTGCCATCTAACTAAGTGAGCTATAGCACCAGTGACATATTTTGTATCTGTAATGTTCATATCCTTGATCACAGCTGAAACAACGTTCAAAGAACGGTTCGGAGCGAAAATGGCTATTTTGTTTCTAATTTGCAGGAAATATCTAGAAGAAAGTAGCTAAGGGTCCTCAGAAATGTAGCTAGCTTTGTCACTAGGCGTTAGGAACAGCGACAAAGTCGCTGAGTTGGCACTACCTCTCTCTCTGCTGCTAAAGCTACTGATAGCAAATGCTACGGGCTATGCCTGAGCGTGAACGCGCATGAAGCAGCCTGCTCGACCCGAGCATCTCTCTTTTTCTGTGATTTTAGAGAAAAACAGGCAATCACAGTAAAAATGCCAGGGCTCATTCTACAGGACCAGGGCATTGCAGGAGAATGTATGAAGAAGACATTTATTATTTCTATACGTGTTTTGGCTGTCAAAATTCCACAATGCCCCTTTAAAAATAATGTGTCTTTATTCATTTGGAGCCCCTAAGAAGAAATCCCACCTTAAAGGCTGTGTACAGACAGCTGGGACTGTTGTCAAGAAGTCATAAATTACAAGGCGGCTCTGTGGGGACTCCATTCTCCTACAATAACATTTTGCTATTCTTAGCAGGCTTAGGAATGTGCCTGTACCAGAGTTTTGAGGGAGGCTGTTGCAGAGTTATAAGCAGTGGACAGGTGCTGGAAAGACAGAACCACTTCTGGGCTGCATGGTTCTCCACCGGTGTACCGATGCTTGTATTAACATGGACTAGATTGTAATAAACCGGTTATCTTTTTTAACTCAAACTTTGCCATGATTGAGTCATAGCACTCCAAGAAACAGCTCAGCATGAAAATGAACCACATTCCCTTTATTTCTGATGACACAACTAATCACTGTTGGTGGACATTTAATCACAGACACTTGGCACTTCTGCATGCGTTCTGTATTCAGTGTGAACGAGGCTTCACGCCCTCTCTCAGTAGCGCAGCATCGTGCGGTTGTCCTGTTCTGATGTTCTTCATGTAGTTGTGGTTTAGGCATTTTTTTGCCGTTATCACTGATAAAAGCTGTGGGTTTATTCATTTTTGAATTAATTAAGCAATACAGATCACAGTCCAATGTTTTTTTTTGTTTTGATTTTAAGTAAGGTTCAGCAAATGCTGTCGAATCACTGAACGCCATCATCTGGGAAATGAAATATGAACTTTTTCCAAGTACCGCTGTAATGTGCTTGCATACCACTAGGCAGAAAAAAAATATTTGTATATAGCATCTCTCAAGATAAGCTAAGAAGCAGGCACATGCAGGGGGGGGGGTGGGGGGGTGGGGGGGGTGCTTGAGCACCTGCCCCTTTTGTCCAAAGCACCTTTTTCCGGTCTTCCATCAGATTTTACCGTTCAAAACTGTAATACTTGGATACGGTAGAGACACTAGGACCATGCGGAGACAGCCTCCTCAAGCTAAAGCCTATTTTCCCTTAGACCCGCCCACAAGCTCACTGATTGGCTCTGCCATGTCAGGCTAACGTATGATTGGCTGTCCCTCTAACTCGCTGCCATGGAGACGACAGACCGGTGTTTTGCTCTTCGGCAGGAGTCTGCGTTCATCTACCTGTAAGTTTTTATTCAGCCTGCATCACGTCAGCTGGATGGATTTTAACCTCAGAGCTTTTGTTTACATTAACATTTGAGTCTGTGGTTAGTGTGCAGTGTTGGGAGTAATGCGGTACAAAAGTAATTAATTACTGTAAAGCATTGCTTTTTGCTGTAATGTGCTAATGTAAGGCATTACAGGGAAAGAAAGTGGTAATATTTACTCGGTACAATTGTCAGTAACGTGGTAATTACAATGCATTTTTAAACCCAGAATCAAGATGTGTTCCTTAAAAATTCAAATTGAGGGAAACCCGAAGAAAGATCCAGTGTCTGCATATATTACGTCATTTATGGACTCAGCTTTGCGGGCAGAGAGGACGCCGCGGTAACGGCTCAACTACTCCAGCTGCGTCCTGCACGCGGCCGCTGTAACATTCACAAAATCGCTCCACTAAAACAAAATAATTCACTTGCGATCATTCATATCAACGCATATTCTCTGGTATTTTGTGCTTTTCTGACGTGCTTTGCCTCAGCTGAGTTCATAATCTGTGCCCCAGTGATTTCAACTCATTACTGCTGGAGCGCCGCGCATGTGAAGATCCCTTTGGCTGACAGAAAGTAGGAAGTCTAGGAAACAGTTTTTTCTGGAAGACTGAGAAAACATGTAGCATGCAGGAAGGTTAGAGAGAGAAAGGGCCGGAAATTATTCAAATAAAATCAAGAAAAAAAGAAAAAAGTAGGTAGATTTATCCCCAATACACATTTTTACCAGTGAAAAGCAATAATATATAAGCAT